CCAAGAGCCTCTTCATTAGAACAAAAGACACTCCTATCATCCAGGAAATTCTGGGGGATTTAGGGACTCTCTGTCAGGAGCAGGGGCCAAAGACCAAATACTAGAACAAAAGATGCTCCTAGCACCCCTGTTACTCAGGAAATTACAAGGGTTTTAGGAGTTTTGTATGAGGAGCGGGGAGCAGAGACCGNCCCTGTTACTCAGGAAATTACAAGGGTTTTAGGAGTTTTGTATGAGGAGCAGGGAGCAGAGACCGAAGATATATTTCTATTATGTAGCAGTCCACCCGGGACACCTCACAGCAAAATGATAATAAAAGCCCAAAGATACTGGCTCATTATATATGAAAATGTCTCCCAGGGTGAGACTCTCCAGGTTTTCAGACTTCCATTTGATGCTAAAAGCAGGAGGGGCACCAGCAATCTATGGCTTCCCCCTTTCGTTATCTGGTATAATTGAACTAAGAGACACTATCACCTTTTGCTCTGAGCCTATTTTGAGGTATTATTGTAGTACAGTATTGGGTTTTTGATAAACAACATTTTCAGTTGTTCTGTAAAAATTCCAGGTGTATGCTTATTCCCATAACATCTCAGAACTTTAACTATGTGAACTCTGAAGTTTGGAATGTAAAGACTAGCATCCCTCTGGACACTGTGGATTCATATCTTAGAGCTGGCAGAGTGGATCCAGGCCTTGAAGTCATTTTACAGGTAGATATGGGATAGTCATTCATTTCAAAAATATTTATTGACCCTTGATTATATTATAGCAACTGAGTACACTGAAGATATGCTGATGAATAAAACAGAGTCCTCATGCAGTTTAGATTTCAGTGGGGGAGACACTAGAGAATAAATAAGCATTACAAACACAGAACATAAGAAGGGGTGTGGAAGAGACAATTGGGTTAATACGGTTTTATAAAGGGTAACTGTGAGATGTGGGTGGTGGTACCTTAGAGTGACAAGAAAGGCCACTTGGAGGAGGTGATGGTTGAAAAGAAAGTTGAAAGATGAGAAGTGCCCATTTATATGGAGAGTGAGGGGAAATCAGTGAGTGCAATATCCTGATGATCTCAAGAAATAAGGCCATGGGAAACCAGAACAGAGGCTCGCAAAAACATCATGAGGAGCTTCATAGGCCATGGGAAAGTGTTTGAATTTTATTCTAAAGGGACTGGGAAGCCGTGAAATGGTGATTTAAATGGGTCTTATCTACTGTGAGTAGTTATTTTTAAAGATCACTCTGATTGTTGTATGGTAAATTGGTTATAAAAGGTAAGAGTGGGAACTGGGGACCAGTGAGGTTAATAGTCAAGATCTAAGATGATGGTACATTGGGCTAGTCAGTTGCAGTATAGTTAGAGAGAAATTAACCTATTCAAGATGTAGTTTAGGTAAAAGACCAAAAGGACTTGCTGATAGATTAGCAAAGATTAAAAAAGAAGCTGAGGAAACCTCAGAAAATTTTGGCTTTGATTGTTCAGAGGATGTGAGTGGAATGTCACAATTAGCTGAGAAAAAATGATTTTCCAATTATCTATTGCTGCATGACAAGTCACTCAAAACTTAGTGGCTTAAAACAAAACAATTCTTCTGTGTTCCAGTATTTTGAGTCTGAAATTCAGGTTGGGCTTTGCTCAGTATTTCTTCTCCACGTGAAATTAATAGGAGCCACTTGGTGATATTCAGGTGCATCTGGGCATGTGAGAGAATCTAAGGTGGCTTCACGCAGAAGCCTGGCACCTTGGCAAGGAAGGCTGGAAAGCCTCTCCTTCTTCATGTAGTCTTGGAGCCTTTCCATATGATTTTACCAGCAGAGTAGCTGAATTTCTCACATGGTGGCTCAGACTCCAATAGCCTTAGAGACTAAAAAAAAAATCTGCAGTGTTTCCTATGACCTAACCTCAGGAGACCCAGAACATCATTTCCACTGTCTTTTATTGGATAAATAAATAAATAAAATCACTAAAACCAGTCCAGATTTAAGGGAAGGGAGGGAAATTAAATCATATCTTTTAGTGAGAGAATAGTAAAGACTTTGGAACCATCTCCAATGTTCCATAATCCCTCTGACCACAATTATTTATGTACTTTCCACCTGCCGAAATACATTTATACCCTCCTATGTTTCCCCAAAACATTATGCCATTACAGTATTGGCATTGAGTCTATCATCATGAGATCTATATCAGACATGAGTGAGGTTCCTTGGGCACAATTCCTCTTGCTTTGAAGGCCTAGGAAATAAAGAGGCAAGGCATATGAATATGACCCCTATACATCTATCAGGCACTGTTGAAACAGGGGTAGAAACACTGTAATAAATACAGTACTCCTTTTCATAAAGGGAGAATGCAAGAGTCACATAGCAAGAATGGCCCATGGAAATTGCAAAATCCGACTAAATACATGTAGCCTTTTTAAAAAAAAGCAAGATCTAGTTCTACTTCCTGTGGCTCTTGGCTCTGCCTTCTGAGCTTATAGTTCAATCCTCTGAATCACCCTTCCTTTTACAAGAAAAAAAAATAGCCCATGTTATAGCTGAATAGTTTTCTTGGCCTTTTTCCTGCCCATTCTCAGTTGAGAGTCCAAGACCTCACTTTGCACTGTTCCTTGCAGTCCAAGCTGGTATAATTTCTCAAGAACTTTGTGAGATATTACATCCTCATGCTTTATTTATGTTATAACTGGGAGTTTGTACCTCTGGATCCCCTTTACTCATTTTGTTGACACCCTAACCGCCCTCACCTCTGGAAACCATCAATCTGTTCTATGTATCTATGAGGGTTTTTTTTGAGCGGGGGCAAGTTGTTGGTTCATTTGTTTGCTTTTCAGGTTCCACATATAAGTGAAATCATTTGTCATTCTCTGACTTATTTGATTTAATAGCTTCAAGGTTCATCCATGTTGTTGCAAATGGCAAGATTTCATTTTTGATGGCTGAGTAATATTCCATTGTATATATGTACCACATCTTCTTTACCCATCATTAGTCTATTGATGAACACTTCAGTTGCTTCCGCATCTTGGCTATTGTAAATAATGCTGCGTTGAACATAGAGGTTCATGGATGGTTTCAAAATGTGTTTTTGTTTTCTTCAAATAAACACCCAGAAGTAGAATTGCTAAATTACATGGTAGTTCTATTTTTTTTTTTTGAGGAATCCTCATACTCTTTCCCATAGTGGCCGCACCAATTTACAATCCCACCAACAGTGCATGAGGGCTCCCTTTTCTCCACATCCTCGCCAACGCTTGTTATTTCCTGACTTTTTAATAATAACCATTCTAACAGGTGGGAGGTGGCATCTCATTGTAGTTTTGATTTACATTTCCCTGGTGATTAGCGATGTTGAGCATCTTTTCATGTGTATATTGGTCATCTGTATGTCTTCTTTGTGGAAATGTCTATTTAGACCTTCCGCCCATTTTTTAATTGGATTGTTTTGTTTTTGTTAGTTATATGAGTTCTTTATATATTTTTTATATTAACCCCTTATTAAATATATTATTTGCAAATATTTTCTCCCATTCAGTAGGTTGTCTTTTCATTTAGTCGATAATCTCCTTTGCTGTGCAGAAGCTTTTTAGTTTGACAGAGTCCCACTTGTTTATTTTTTCTTTGGTCACCTTTGCTTTTAGAGTCATATCTCTCAAAAATCATTGCCAAGACCAACGTCAAGTAGTTTTGTGGTTTCAGGTTTTATATTTCAAGTCTCGAATTCATTTTGAGTTAATTTTGTGTATGGTGTAAAATCGTGGTCTATTTGCATTCTTTCACCTGTGGCCACCGAATTTTCCCAGCGACATTTATTGAATCCTTTCCACATTGTGTATTTTTGCCTCTTTTGTCATAAATTAATTGACCATATATATGCATGGATTTATTTTTTGGCTCTCTATTTTGTTCCATTTATCTATGTGTCTGTTTTTATGTCAATACCATACGGTTTAATATAGCTTTGTAATATAATTTAAAATCAGGAAATGTGGTACCTCCCACTTTGTTCTTTCTCAAGATTGGCTATTTGGGATCTTTTGTGGTTCTATACAGTTTTAGCATAGTTTGTTCTATTTCTGTGAAAAACGCCCTTGGAATTTTGATAGGGATTTCATTAAATTTGTAGATTGCTCTGCATGTATGGACATTTTAACAATATTCTTCCAATCCATGTGCATGAAATATCTTTTTATTTATTTGTGTCTTCAACTGTTTTCATCAGTGTCATAGTTTTAGTGTAGAGATCTTTGCCCTCCTTGGTTAAATTTCTTTCCGGATATTTTAATTTTTTTGATGCAATTGTAAATGGATTGTTTTTAATATTTCTCATTCTGCTAGTTCATTATTAGAGTATACAAATGCAACTGATTTTTGTTTATTGATTTTATATCTTGCAACTTTGCTGAATTTGTTTATTAGTACTAACAGTTTTTTGGTGGTCTTTAGGGTTTTCTTTATATAATATCATGTCATTTCCTCTTAGAATGCACTTAGTAAGATAAGATGCTGTTGAAAATGGACACTGTCTTAAATGTTTGGTGGTATAATAACCCTAACTAATGGCAGAGCCCAACTTTTAACCTTTAAAAGACGGCATTTAAAAGACAGCATCATACAAACTCCATATATTTTCCAGGATCAACTGTACAAATAATGGTTTCTTTCCTTTTGCTTGTAAAAAAGAACGTATATGCTTAGGTTTCTGAGTATTTAAAAATATACATATGAATAAAATTTTTAAAGGATTACAACAGATTAGGAATTTTTCATGTGAACCAATATGTAGTCCTAACAATAAATTTAATGTTATTAAAGGTAACTCAATATCCACCTCAAGTTTACAATATGATATCAGAAAATCAACCCCCTACCTTCACTAAAATGCTCCATACTCACTAATGACATATGGAAAAATATATTTAGACCACAGACACTCAATTTTCTTTCATTGTTAAATTTATATTATGATGTCAAATCCTATCAAATATTAAGCTTCAGCAAGAAAATAATTTTCTGTCAAGCACTCTCTTCAGAGCCCCCTTAATCTCCTTGTTCCTGAGGCTGTAGATGATGGGGTTCAGCATGGGGATCACCACCATATAGAACACGGACACCACCTTGTTCTGATCAGTTGTATAGCTGGACTTGGGCATCACATATATGAACATGGTGGTCCCAAAGTACAGACTTACTGCCGTGAGGTGGGCCGCACAGGTGGAGAAGGCCTTGTGGCGCCCCTCGGAGCGGATGTTCAGGACAGTGGCGAGGATGCAGATATAGGAGACAACTATGACAAACACCGTGCACACAATGATGGAGCCAGCTGTGAAGGAGGGAACAGCTGCGGGAATACTGCTCTCAGAGCAGGAGAGCTCAACTAGCGGGGCAAAATCACAGAAAAAGTGATTGACTCGATTTGATCCACAGAAGAGTAAAAAATAGTAGCAAATAGTAAAGGCGCAAGCATTGAGAAAACTACCTACATAAGCCACTATGAGGAACTGAATGCAAACATGTGTGGACATTTTGGTTGAATAAAACAGTGGTTTGTGGATTGCCACAAAGCGATCATATGCCATGATGGCCAGAAGCACGCACTCGACTGCCCCAAAGACAGCGGTTGAACCAAGCTGGGTGGCACATCCATGATAGGAGATTGGATTTCTCTCCACCAGGAAGTTTACAAGCATATTGGGTGTGACGGAAGTTGAAAGACATATGTCAGCAAAAGCCAAGTGACTGAGAAAAAAATACATAGGATGATGGAGCTGAGAAGAGATTCTGATAAGAATGATTGTGCTGAGGTTTCCAGATACGGTCACCAAGTAGATACACAGGATTATCATGAAGAGGATGACTCGAAGGATTGGGTCATCAGTTAAGCCCAATAAAATGAAGCCTGTCACTGTCGTGTGGTTCCCATCTCCCAGGGAATCCATGAGATAAGGTAGCTGCTACCAAACGAACCTGTGATGAAACATTACTTGAAAGAAGTTACACATTTAATGATTTCGTTTTCATTAATACACATGGGAAGTAATTATAAATATATTTATGCATCAGTGCATATTTACATGCAATTATGAGTCTCTCTGTCTTTTAAAAATTATTTTAGCAAAAATCCCAGAAGTATTTCTTCAAACAGTATTATATATATGTACATATACACATTTCCACATATGCACTTAAACTGGCTTTGAGGTTACAGAATAAATGATATAAGACAGGTGAGAATAGCAAAAAAGACCTGGTAAATATATACTAATCCAAATATTGTTTGTAATACATATTATAACAAAGACTTTAACAGTAATAGCTAACATTTACTATATGCTTACTGATGGAAAATATAGGGCTAAGGATTATATATATATATATACACACACACACAGTCTATTTAGTTGCCCATAAAAAAATATTAATACTCATTATTGTTTTATAGATGAGTAAACTGAGTCTGAAAGAGGTTAATGTAACTTCACAAGGTTATGTAGCAAGTTGTGGATTTAGTATATGAAGCTCCAGAAGTTTAACTGCCCCGTTCCTTTAGTATTTAACAAATGAAGTGAAATAATATGTAACATGAAGTCGTGCATCTGTCAATGAGTGGACAACAGATTGTCCCTTAAGCCTTCTAGCCATTAGGAATAAAACAGACACATGGTTATTTATCTATTTCACAGTATCTGTCAGTTAAATAAAGTTAATTTTTTTCAAAGGAGGAATAAAATTGTTCCTGATACTCATTCAGATAAGAATTTCAAAGTAGGGTTATGAATGAGATTATCTATTGTAAACTTATTAGATTTTTTTTTTTTTGAAAAATATACCTTTATTGATTTCAGAGAGAGGAAATGAGAGGAAGAGAGAGAGAGATAGAAACATCAATGATGAGAAAGTCATTGATGGAACCCGCAACCGGGGCATGTGCCCTGACAGGGAATCCAACCCCAATCGCCTGGATCCTAGGTCGACGCTCAACCACTGAGCCACGCCCGGCCGGGCTAGATATTTTTTAAGTATTTGAAATTTAGAAAATTATGGTTTTATCAAATAATTTGTAATATCAATGTAATTATGCAAAAAGCATGCATGATTGATATTCAGAAGATAGTTAAAATATGTCAAATTACTTCCTACTTTAACAACATTTTCTAATTAAAGTTTTGTAAAATGAAATAATATTATTCTCAACATAATACGTAGCTGAATAAAGTGTAGCCTAATAGCTGAAAAAGGATCACCCAGCTTGTGGTCAAATGGACCCTCATCTCCAGATTTTCTGACTTTATATCCTGAGCTTTGTCTGCTGTGTTATTGTCTTGAAGCTAAAGCATTTAGACCCATAAACAAAGTCAATCTTTCTGCAAAGACATTTACAGTACCTTTCAATTTTTAAACCTTGAATTTAAATCTTAAAATTGTTACATATTATTAATTCAGGGTATCTCAACAATAGTGAATTAATTAGCATAACTGGAGAGTGCTGAGTTTGGATAGTGTTGAAAGACCATATGAGTTTCTGTTTTATGGGTAGATAAACAGGAATCCTCATAACTTAGATTATGCCTGTTTACATGTGAACTAATGGTGGAAACAGCAGTTCAGCCAAAGTTGCTTACTCACTAATTGCTTAATTACATCTGCCCTGTTTCCCAACTATGACTTGTGAATACAGATATAATATTAGGGAGTAAAGTGTTCTCAAATAGTAAATGAAAATCAATAAATACATCAGCTTCATTAACAAAAGTCGAAATCTCACCTTGGAATAAGAAATCATTCATCTTTCAATAACAGATCAGAGTTATTGTGGTTATATAGTGATCTTTGATTTTTGTTTCCATTGGGGATAAATCTCTAATGATTCTAGAACTTCAAGTGAGAATTCAAAATCATTATGTAGCATCATTATGTTCTGTAAGGGATATTGAGCAATTCAATTCACACAGCAAAATACAACTAATCTTTCAGGATTCTGTCAATTCTCAGGTGGTCAATTTATTGTTTTTCCTCTATCTAGGTATTCACACATAGTTATATAACCTTCATTTAATAATTATTAGAGTATATATAATTTGTCTAGATAGATATTGGTTCCAAATTGACTTTGATATTTTGATTATGAAATACTCAGTACTAAACTTAAGATATAAAAAAATAACCTTAGCTTTAGCCATTCATATATGTTTCTTGCTGAGTATTTTGTATATTGATATCTTAAGGTATGCCATTACTTTGGGGAAATACGAGGTGAAACTTGATGTAAAATTGAATTTTACATAACAAAAATTTTTTAGACATACTCATTAATTATAATATCAAATGTAAGACAATGAAAGTTTTGAAAGTTGTATAGAATGTTAAACCAAAAAAGGTTTGCATGACTTCCAGATAAGAAATAGTCTCTCACTGTCAATAACCTCAAATGTTGCCTCTGGAGATAGTGCCTTATGGTATAGGTAAATGGTGGTGGAAACAGGTATCTTCAACCCTAGGATTCAATCTTACCTAATTCTCTTGTTAATCCTAATTTTATTTCTTTAATTTTAAAAAGCTTTTTATTAAAATATAGTTGGCATACAATATTATATTAGTTTCAGATGTGCAACATAGTTATTCAACATTTATTTACCTTACGATGTGATCACCATAAGTCTAGTAATCATCTGTCACCATACAAAGTAAAATATTATTAACTATATTCCCTGTGCTTTATATTACATCTAGGTGGCTTATTTTTATAACTGGAATTTCATACCTCTTATTCTCCTTCACCTTTACACCCATCCTCCCCCCACACACACCAGCAACCACTAATCTGTTCTCTGTATCTATAAGTCTGTTTCTGTATTGTTTTGTTTTTAGATCCCATGTATAAGTGAAATCATATGGCATTTGTCTTTCTCTGTGTGACTCATTTCACTTAACATAATACCCTTTAAGTTAATCCATGTTGTCTCAAATGGCAAGAGTTCATTCTTTTTTATGGCTGAGTAATATTCCATTATATATATGAATCACATTTTCTTTATCCATTTATTTATTTATTTACTTATTTATTTATTTCCTCACCCGAGGATATTTTTTCCATTGCTTTTCAGAGAGTGGAAGGAGAGAGAGAGAGAAGCATCAGTGTGAGAGAGACACATTGATTGGTTGCCTCCTGCACATGACCCAACCGGGGCTCTGGATTGAGCCTGCAACCGAGATACATGCCCTTGGCTGGAATCAAATCTGAGACCCTTCAGTTCATGGACCAACGCTGTAACCACTAAGCCAAACTGACTAGGGTTCCACTCACTTATTGATAGCACCTAGGTTGCGTCTGTATCTTGGCTATTGTAAATAATGCTGCAATGAACATAGGGGTTCATATATCATTTCATAGCTTTTGGTAAATTTATTGCAACATTTCTTTGCTAAACATTATAGAACATTGATGAGAGAAATAAAAAAGGCATAAATAAATGGAGTAAGATATACCATGTTCATGAATTTGAAGACTCAATATCATTAAGGGGCTGACTCCCCAAAAATTGATCTATAGATTCAATGCAACCACAAAATACCTCGAATGGCTGCAGCAATTTTGAGAAAAAGTTGGAGGAATAATGTTACCCAATATTAAACTATACTACAAGGCCATAGTAATCAAAACACCATGGTACTGGCATAAAAACAGACATATAGAGATCAATAGACAGAATAGAGAGCCCAGAAATAAACCCATGCCTATATGGCCAATAAATATTTGACAAAGGAGGCAAGGACATTTAGTGGGGTAAAGACAGTCTATTCAATCAGTGGTGTTAGGGAGATTGGACTGATATATGCAAAAAAAATGAAACTAGACCACCTTCTTACACTATATACAAGAATAAACTCAAAATGGATTAAAGACTTAAATGTTAGATTTGATACCATAAAAATCCTAGAAGAAAACAGGCAGTAAAATCTCGGATATTTCTCATAGCAGTACTTTTTTCTGATATTTCTCCTCGGGCAAGGGAAATGAGAAAAAATAAATTAGACTACATCAAACTAAAAAGGTTTTGCACAACAGAGGAAACCATCAATAGAATTAAAAGATAACCCACTGAATGGGAGAATATATTTGCCACTGACGCATCTGGTAAGGGGTTAATATCCAAAAACTTATAAAGAACTTATACAACTCAACACCAAAAAAACCCAACAATCCAATTAAAAAATGGGCAAAGGACCTGTATAAACACTTTTCCAAAGAGGACGTACAGATGGCCAAAAGACATATGGAAAAATGCTCAGTGTCAGTAATCATCAGAGAAACGCAAATTAAAACCACAATGAGATATCACCTCACACCTGTCAGAATGGCTACCATCAGTAAATCAACAATAAGCTTTGTCGAGGGTGTGGAGAAAAGAGAGCCCTCATGCACTGCTGGTGGGAATGCAGACTGGTGCAGCCACTATGGAAAACAGTATGGAGGTTCCTCAAAAAATTAAAAATGGAACTGCCTTTTGACCCAGTGATCCCACTTCTGGGAATATATCCAAAGAAACCCAAAACACTAATTCGAAAGAATATATGCACACCTATGTTTATTACAGCGTTGTTTACAATATCCACAATTTGAAAGCCGTGGTACATTTACACAATGGAATAATACTTGGCCATAAAAAATTAAAAAAAAGGAAATCTTACCTTTGGGGACAGCATGGATGGACCTGGAGATTCCTATGCTAAGTGAAATATAATCCAGTCAGAGAAAGACAAATACCATATGAACTCAGTTATTTGTGGAATCTAATGAACAAAATTGACTGACAAACCAAATAGAAACCCAAGCATGGATACATGGAACAGACTGTCAGCTGTCAGAAGGGAGGGGTCTTGGGGGACTGGATGAAAGGAGGTGAAGGAATTTACAAAAAACTTACATATATATATAACATAGACACAAACAACAGTGTGGTGATAGCCAGAGGGAAAGGGGGTCGAGCGTAGGTAGAGGTCGGCAAAGCAGGGTTAGGGGTGAGGGGTGAAGAGCGGGGATAGAAAGAGAATTTGCTTTTTGCTTGGGGTTGTGGGCGCACAATGCATTGTACAGATGATGTTGTGTTTTTTGGGGGGTTTTTTTGAGTTGTACACTTGAAAGCTGTGTGGTTTTGTGAACCAATGTCACCCCAATAAATTCAATAAAAAATAAAATAAAATAACCTGGATCTCCTTGATTAAAGCCTAGGTGACATCAGTGCATGAGGATCTTTTTACAATTGTACCAGTCTTAACCTCAAGGAACCCCTGCAAGTGAAAGAAAGTTGCTGCACATACCAGGAGGATGGGAAATCATACCAGTGGGCACAGTCCTTCTGCGGGGATTTTCCTGTTTCCCAGATCTACAGACTCTCCTTTTTGTGATGATTTTCTTCTGCTATGTAACTGTGCTAGTTGCAAATGTGTTCATAATGGTGACCATCAAGCTCACTCCCACATGCACTTTTTCCTCCCTGGCTTGTCGTTTTCAGAAAGCTGTGCCACTATGGTAACCATCCCCCTCATGCCAGTGGACCTGCTATCAGACTGCAAGACCATTTCTCTTCCTGAGTGCCACACAGATGCTTTTCTTCTTTGGCGTGGCGGGCAATAACTGCTTCATCATGGCCCCCACGTCCTGTGACCGTTACACTGTCATTCACGACCCGCTGCGCAGTGCCATACTGATGACCTACAGGATCTTTCGCTTCCTGATGGCCTATTGGATGGTTGGGTTCCTGGTTTCTATGTGAATCGTCATCACTGTATTCAAATTGTCTTTCTGTGACTCCAACACCATCTGTTACTTCTGTGATCCCTTCTGTGGTCTGCCTTGCTTGTGATTACCCTTCCCATCATGAAAGGAATGTGTTTGTGCTCTCTTTCTTTGTGTTGGTGGGCAGCTTTAACTTCATTTTGATTTCCTATGTCTTCACTGAGTCCGTAGTTGTGGAGATGCCCTCTGCACAGGGGAGGTATAAGCCCTTTTCCACTTGCTCCTCTCACCTCACTATAGTGTGCATACACTATGGATTTACTGGCTTTGTTTATTGGAGGCCTAGGGGCAGTGACTCATTTGTGAAGATATGCTGATGGCTGTGACATATACAGTGCTGACTCCCCTGCTCTCCCCATAGTTTACAGTCTAAGAAACAAAGAAATGCAGATAGTCCTAAGGATGGTACTAAATAATATAAGTAGGTTTATCCCTCAAATGGTAAATAAAAAACCCCTGAACATTTAAAAAATGTATAGATTGTTGCCTCAGCTGGGTGTCTCAATTGGTTGAAGCATCAACCCATACACCAAAAAGGTTGCAGGTTCGATTCCCAGGTGGGGCTATTTCAGTATCCTATGATTCATTTGTTATTTTAATTTTATCAGTGACCAGTCATTGTCATTGGCTTGTTTTATTCTAATTTCAAAAAAAACCATTCCCCCCTATTAGATTATTGCAAATAACTTTATCTAAAACCAATGTATGATTCTGCCTTCCTTACTGGGCAAATTATGCCCCCCCCCTTTTTAATACATATTGGGACAAAGAAAAATATTAGAACGATAATAATGTGTTTTGTTAGTGTGGCAGATTTATGTAATTCCTTAAAGTTATTCCTCTTGACCCATTGAATGGGGAGCAATAGGACAATATAGTTTTATCATGTTCAGTACGTGTTTGTTTTTTTAATTTGCAGAATCACCTAAATACTCATCATTTATATTTAAATGCTGGTGGGGGTGGTTTTAAGTTTTGTTTGTAAATAAGGTAACTGGACAATCAAGCACCTTTGGGAGATCCTGGCTTTACTATTTCATCAACCATTTCAAAATTAATTCTAAAAATAAACCCCTTGTAGGAAACTTGCACTTTGATTTTTCTTTATTCCAATAGAAAATGTAAATAATAAGACAATATAAGACTTTCCTAATGTCTAATATAAACTGAGCTATAACCAGAAAGAAATCCACATACATGTGGGCAAATAATTGTTGTCAAAGGAACCAAAAACATACATTAGAGGAAAGAAAGCCTCTTCATGAAATGGTGCTCAGAAAATTGGATGCAAAAGGATGAAATTAGACTGCTATTTGCCACCATACACAAAAAAAAGTAGCATAAAATGAATCAACAACCTAAATGTAAGACCTGAAACAATAAATTACATAGAAGAAAACACAGATACTTAACTTATAGACCTTGGTCTTAGAAAGGACTTTATGAACTTGACCCCAAAGGCAAGAGAAGTAAAGGCAAAAATAAATGAATGGGACTATATCAAACTAAAATCTTCTTCACAGCAAAAGAAATCAACAACAAAACAAAAAGGCAACCAACCAAATGAGAGAAGATATTTGCAAACAATACCTCAGATAAGGAACTAATATCCAAAATATATAAAGAACTCAACAATAAAAAAACAAACAATTCAATTTAAAAATGGGCAGAGGACCTGTACAGATACTTCTCCCAGACAGATGGTTAACAGATATATGAAAAGATGCTTAACTTCACAAGCTATAAGGAAAATGCAAATCAAAGCCACAATGAGACACCACCTCACACCTATTAGAATGCTATTATCAACAAGATGAGACACAGCAAGTGTTGGAGAGGTTGTGGAGAAAAAGGACCCTCACTCACTGCTGGTGGGAATGTAGACTGGTACAGCCACTGTGGAAAACAGTATGGAGGCTCCACAGAAACTTAAGAATAGAGTCACCATATGGCTCAGCAGTCCCTCTCCTGGGTATTTAGCCAAAATTTTTGAAAACATTTATTCGTAAAGATATATGTACCCCTCTGCTCGTTGCAGCATTATTCGTGGTGGCCAAGACATGGAAACAACCTAAGTGTCCTTCAGTGGATGACTGGATAAGGCAGATGTGGCCCATGTGTACAATGGACTCAGCCATAAGAAAAGATGAAATCCTGTCATTTGCAACAACATGGGTGGATCTTGAGAATATCATGCTAAGCGAAATAAGTCAGCCAGAAAAAGTCAAGAACCATATGATTTCATCCATATGTGGGATGTAAAACAGAAAGCAACAAATAAACAAACAAACAAAAAAATCAAACAAAAAAACTCATCAACACAGACACCAGTATGGAGGTTACCAAAGGGGAAGGGGGTGAGAGGAGAGAGAAGAGGGTAAAGGGGGTCAAAATATTTGGTGACAGAAGGAGACCTGACTTTGGGTGGCGAGCACACCATGCAATATACAGCTGATGTGTTATAGAATTGTACACCTGAAACTTACATAATCTTATTAACCAACGTCACCTCAACAAATTTAGTAAAATTAAAAAAAAAGAAGTATGCAACATACATTTGACAAGATTGAAACAACCTAACAAAAGTAACCTTCCTTCTTCGTCTAGGAAGGAGCTGGGTCATGTGAAGTAGTCCCCAGTAGGGTTTCTTTTGGGGGCTCCTTAATGTATTTTGTCAAGTAGATTCCTGAAAAGAAGGAACTAGTAGCTAAATAGAGCTTTCAGGTATCTTCTGAGTTGGTCTGAAGAGACTCACCAGCGGAGGTACTGTGGGGAGGATACTGTTGGCCACATTCAGACAGGGCACCAGAAGTTTAAAACTACCAGGATCACTGATTTCGATCCTTACAGTATCTGTACAGCATGGATACCATCTCTTTCAGATGATAAAATCTTGGGTGGCAACACGATTCTTTATTTCCCATTCAAGGAGTTTCAGATGCTGCCAGCTGTTAATACCAAAGACTTCATTCAGAGAACATAGAACTTATTTGAAAATACGTGTGCTTGTAGATGTAACAAATGGTGGGTGAAGTAAGGACAAAGAAATTATGTTTTGCTAGATGCGCCTCTCTTAGTGAATGCACATTTATTTGTTACACTGAAAATTTTCTTGAGAATAACACAGTGAGATTTATGAGTCTAGAATACTATGAACACACAGTGAAATTTACTTAGTACATTGTCTATTCATCATCAGAAGAGGCCCTCATTATACAGGATTTATTATTAGAATCAGATTACTTTAGGACCACCAATGTGTTCCAGCCATCAGTCTTCTCTGGGCCTCTTTCACCTCCTTGTTCCTGCAGCTGTAGATAAGGGGGTTCAGCATGGAGATCACCACCGTGTAGAACACAGACGCCACTTTGTTCTGTTCGGTTGAGTAGCTGGACTTGGGCATGACATAAATGAAGGTAATTGTTCCAAAGTAGAGAGTAACTGCAGTGAGGTGGGAGGTGCAGGTGGAGAAGGCCTTGTGTCGCCCTTCAGCAGAACGCATCTTCAGGATGGTGACAAGGATGAGGACATAAGACAGAACAATGATAAACACAGTGACCACGATGATGGAGCCAGAGGAGATGGCTGGGATTATTTCAGAAGTCAAATCGTGGGAACAGGAAAGCTTCAAAAGTGGGGAATAGTCACAGAAAAAGTGATTGACTTTATTTGGTCCACAGAAGGACAGACTTAATAAACAGCCAGTGAATGTCCAGCCATTCACACATCCACCCAGGTAGCACATCCCCACTAAGAGAATGCAGATTCTGGGGGACATGTGGCTGCAGTAGAGCAGGGGCGAGCAGATGGCCACATAGCGGTCATAGGCCATGGTGGCCAGCAGGAAGCACTCGGTTGTTCCAAATGTGGCCACAGAACAGAATTGGGCTATACAACCAGCAACAAGGATAGAGGTTTCTTCCCTGAGGAAGCCCATGAGCATGACGGGTGTGACAGATGAGGAGTAGCAAATGTCCACAAAGGCCAAATGGCAGAGGAAAAGGTACATCGGGGTATGAAGCTGCGGGCTGCTTCTGATCAAGATGATTATGCTGACATTGCCCAGTAAAGTGACAACATAGATTCCTAGAAACACAACAAATAAAATGGCACTAAGTGTAGTATCCTCTGTTAACCCCAAAATAATGAACTCTGTCACAATGGAATAGTTTCCGGTCCCCATCTATGCTGGAAATGGTGCCCACTGAAAGCAAAACAAGTACATATTAGAATAGAAGAAAATATTATAATTTGCACACTTATTTTGCAGTGGATATATAATGAAAATTACAAAAACACAGACACACTAGTGTAAATTTGGTACAGAGTGCTGTCACATACAATACGTCATGTAAAACTTGATAGTATATATATTGATACAGGCCAGGAATAAAACAAATTGTTTTTAATTTAGCAAACTTAACTCATACTTTCATCGTGTTGTTAGGTGTTTCTTGAGTAATAGAGACCAACTAAAATTTCAGAGTAATATGTTTTCTTCAAATATTTAGTGTCAAGAAGATTGAACTCTCTCCCTCTCTCTCTCTCACTCTCTCCCTTCCTCTCCCT